CTACAATCAGCTCTAGTCCCTCAGGAGGAGCACTTGAATGCTCAAGGCTTTAGGAGAGGCCCTGTGGCTCCCAGGGGGTTGCTTGTTCTCCACCACAGCAGAAGTAGGTGGAGGAGTGAGGCTAGTCATGGCTAAGTTGGTGGAGCCTGGGAGGCTTTTTAAAGTCTTGGAAGATCTCAAAGATCATTTTCCTGACCACTAGGGGAAGCCTCTGGGAGGAGAGTCAAGGCAGGCTCACCAAACCAGGATGACTGCTCATGAGGAAGGAGTCATAATTCCCCAACTGGCTGTGGGGAGTGAGCTCTACCACTCTTGCGTTACCCCTGCCCTCCAGTGTCTGGTTGCAAATGGGCTCCTGAACACTCCACACTCAGTTGCTATGGAGCCACAGGCTGGTATTTTCCCCACCTGGGGCTCGCCCTAGTCCAACAGCTCAGCTTTGAGACTCCATAGGGCTCCAAGGTCGTTTTCCTGGGTGCTAGAGAAAGCTGCTGGGAGGAGGCTCAAGGCAGGCTCTCCAAAGTGAGAATTCTGCTCCTGAAGAAGGGGCTAATTTCCCCAACTGGTTATTAAAAGTGAGCTCCATCTCCTTGTGTTACTCCTGCCCTCCAGTGTCTGGTTGCCAATGGTGCCTGAATGTGCTGCACTCAGTTGCTATGGCACCCAGCTAGAGGACCCACTCTAGTCCGACATGCAGCTTTCCTGTTGGGGGGGTTGGGGGTGGGCACTCCCCCAAATTGCCCATCTTGGACTTGTATGTTCTGTGCACATGGGCACCCTCACCTCCTGAGTCAAGCTCCCAAATCTCCCCCCATGTCCCCCAGCAACTCACTCAAGAACTGGGGGCATGGGATCCAGCCTGCATTAGTGACCTGCTGATGTGTATCTCTGGGAAATGCCAGTGGACAAAGAGGTCCCAGATCAGGCACCTTGCATCTACTGCAGGTTCTCAAGGGGAAAGGCATGGGCCCCACTTTCTGTGGAAATCTCAGAGTGGAGGATGTGCCAGCAGGGGAGAGATGGCTGCTTACCAAATTCTTGGCACAAACTATTCTCCTGGTAGCAGTAGGCAGGGGAGGGGCGGGGGAGGATAAGAGTCCGAATGGAAGAAAGCTGGCTCTCCAGCCTCTCTGGTCACTATCCTTGGAGGGGAATCCCACATGGAATATCCAAGCTCTGGGATCATGCAAGTGCTCCCCATAATTCTGTGGTTGCTGCAGTGCTTGGGCTCGTGGTGGTGGAAAAGTTTCCAAGTAATTTGGTAGTCTGCTGATCACCAAAGGAGTGTGGGAAGGAGAAAAAGATCCCCCCTTACCCCTTCACTCGGCTCTGAGTCTCTCTGGGTTTGATTCTCTACAATATCTTTTTTTTCCCCCTTTTTCCTCTTCCTTCTCTCCTTCTCAATTTTCCTCCAAGAGGTCCCTGGCAAGCTCCAATACTTCTTCCTCTGACCCACACATGAGTTGTGTCCTTTCTCTCCTTTCCTTTATCTGAAACCCTTCCTTCCCTCTGGGACAGTCTGGTAAGCAATGTCTCTAGTGGGCCATCTTGTCTCCCTAAATCAGTGTGCCATTTCTGACTCAAGAAATAGGGGCCCACATGGAAATACTGGAGAGAGGCTTCGAGGAACTATGGCAGTTCCAACTGATAGCCAGTAAGGAAATTCACTTCTCATTCTTACAACCACAAAGAACTGTATTCCTCATAGAACAACCTGAATAAGCTTGGAATGAAATGATTCCCAGCATCTTCCAATAAGAAGCCAGGCTTTGACAGCTTGATTTGGGCTTGTGTTACCCTAAGCAAATGAACCAGCAGAACCAACCCATATTTCTCACCCACAGAAATGTGAGATAATAAGTGTGTTTTATTTTATGTCCCTTAATGCATGACATCTGTTATGTCAGCATAGAAATTTACTATATTCTTTTTTTAAGAATCCATATTTTAGACATAGTTGCTACATAGTGATTCCTAGGTCCTTCCTAATCTGCCACTTCCAAAAGAGGCTTTGATTTTTTACCATTTAGTTAAGATCACTCAACAGTGTATGGATTCAGTGGCCAGTCTCAAATAAGTCACCAGATTCTCCTCTCTTTATAACCTCATCTGCTTTCTAAACCTCCTCACTAACTTTAGGGATCTCTTTCAAGAACCAGTAGATTCTGTGCCAATTCTGACTCTACTAACAAGTAGATTTGGAAAAAAATTTTAAGTGTGGTGGAAGCAGACAGAGAATATGAGCAGGCATGTAAATTTCACTGCCAAAGTATATAATAAACAATTATGTAGAAGGGGTTGTTATCAGAAGATGTGTTAGTCTGTTTTGCATTGATATAAAGGAAATTGTAGCTGGGTAATTTATAAAGAAAAGAGGTTGATTTGGCTCACAGTTCTGCAGATTGTCCAGGAAGTATCATGTCACCATATGCTTCTGGTGAGACTTCAGGGAGATTCCAATCAAGGCAGAAAGCAAAGGTGGAGTGAGTGTGTCACATGGTGAGAGGGAGCAAGAGAGACAGAGGAGGAGGTGCTAGGCTCTTTTAAACAACCAGCTCTTGTGTGAATTAATACAGTGAGAACTCACTCATTGCCACAGGGCACCAAGGCATTCATGAGGGATCTTCCCCCATGACCAAAATGCCTCACACCAAGGCCCACCTCCAACACTGGGGATCAAATTTCAACATCAGATTTGGAGTGACCAAACATTCAAACCATGTCAGAGGGATTCCACAATGAGTCACGTGACAGGAGACATCTGCAGGAGGTTGGAGTGCTCTAAGCCAAGAGAAAGGGAGGTTACTTGGCTTTTCTTCCCACAGAGAGTAGGCTGCAGTCTTCACAGAAGGAAGCAGAGAAGAGCTGGACAGTTGGTCAGGAGTTGAGCACAAGGGCCCACAGGGGCAGACTCAGGGGAGAGTGACATAATTCAGGAAGTGCTAGGTCTGGTCTCATGTGCAGGCACTTGGGCAAAGTCAGCTCTCAAAAATCCCTGGGGCTAGAGGCAGGTAGACCCTAGGCAAATGAGGCCCGTAGGCATTCCTCAAATGGTGTTCAATTCTCATTTTATTCTTTGGATATTACACCTAAAGTATTACATTGGTATTACATTGGCCCCAGGTTCCTTTATTTCATTGTCTAGACATAATGTTCAATAATGAGGAAAGAAATGAATTAAGAGACAGAACATCTGCATGATCTAGGAAGGAGCTGAACAGTATGGGCTGTCATGGAATTCAGACTAGAATTCTAATTCTGACACTTATGAGCCATGTGAAGTCAGGAAAATTGCAAAGCTCTATGAAGTTCAAGCTCTTTGTGAAGTGAACTTGATAAGTCTTGCCTGGTGGACTCCTGAGATGTATGTAATTATGAAATCCCTTGGCACAATGCCTGGAATTTGTTGCATATTTAACAACTGGCATTTATTGCTATTATTATTTTGACCCCACACCATACCAAAATGTGCTCTGTGATTTTTTTTAAACCAAGACATGTCAGAGAATATACAGCACTCTATGATACAGCACATAAACCAGCTAAAATGCTGCTTAGTAAGTAAAACCAAGCTACTTACTATGTAAATTTTGGTTGATATGTTATTTATTGAGAGTAGGGAAAGTCTTCCTCAGCTGGATGCAATTTAAGGCTCCTAGAATTTGTGTCAAGGACTAACTCATTGCATCCTTTCCAACTGTCCTTCCATCCAAACCACCTTAATTTCATTTATTTCACTCCCATCAAAAATCTAGCTCTCACTTAAGAATTTGCCAACTTACACTCAAGACAACCTAATAATAAAGTGCCCTGTTAATATAGTGGGCTTTGTCTCTCCCAGGCTAGAACAAACATTGTCAGAAGGTTGGCTTCTAATCACATCCGATGTCAAGTGAGAGCCCCACTTATTTCTTATAAAATCCCTGGAGCTATGCATAAAACACAGTTTGTGCACTGTTCACAAGTGCACTGGAAAAATGACACCAGAAAAAGATGCAGGACAACTTGTATTCTTGGCTTAGGAGGAGGATTCTCTCTGGTTTATCCGTAGCTCCAAAATAATTGCTAAAAAGAGTTCTCCATTCCAGGAGTTAGTCTTTTAACTCTGGACACACCTTTTAGCCATTCTATCCCTGCTTACCACTCCCACAGCCTTAACCCACTCACAACTCAGTCTAATGTGAAACTGACCAACACTGAAGGACTTGCAGTTTCCCAATGTCCCAAACCCACTTGCCTCTGGCCATTTGCACTTGACTGTTCTCATCTGAATCCTCCCACCTTCTTTTTGACTTGTCCTTTATGTCTTAGAGTATATCTCATCATGTTCCTTACATGACAGCTGCTCTAGACTCTAAAATTCAGTGGGCACAGTTGGGTCTTGTTTATCCTGACATTCCCAATACTAACAGAGAGCCTTCCAAAGAGAAGATGCCCATGTAATGTTTGATAAATAAATGAGTCAGTGTGCAAGAGGTCTACTTTATTAAGATGTACTTTCTCCTACATTGTTGAATAAGTTAATTATATCCAAGTATACCTCTTAATTTTATAGTTTTTAAAGAATGCAGTAAATGTGATAAGGAAATTCAAGAATTTATCATCTTTTACATTTTTACCCCTCTATTTCTTAATCCCAACTATTTTACTGCTGGTTCCTTTCACATTTCCAAGGAAATGCCTAATCCACTACTATGTTATCTTGTTCAAGATCACTAAACAAGATGCAAAATTTCCCTATCTGTTCTATAAAACAGTAAAACTCTTATATCTTATTAACATCAATAAATGTTTGACTTGTATCACTTATAATCATGGATTCTGAAGCTACTTTAAACCTTGTATTCAAAGAAGCAACATTTAAACAAATATCCAAGTTACCACCTAGTACAAGAAAACATATGTTATACACCGTGTTGTCACCAGCTTTAGCCAACCCTCCACTAATAAGAACATTAGCTGCCCTCTTCATAAACATAGTGAAGACTCTTCCTCAGCTTTCATTTATGGCAGGAAAGGCTGCTGGACTTGACCCTGGAATGGGCACTGGCCATGGCAGTGGTACGAGCTTTGGCTTCAACTCTGGCTTTGGCTCTTTCTTCCTCATCTTTCAAAGCCTCTTCATAACAGTTTGGGAAGGCACTGGGGACAGTATTATGGATCTTGGCCAAAAACTCAAGGACTTTCATCTTGCTGGTTTCCTCATGGGATCTTGGACCCCACAGGAATTCATAGTGTGGAGGATCACTGTTGGCCACCTGCCGGGACTCCAGGTACTTTTCTTTCACCAAATCTTCAGTGAGGAGCTTCCTGGGCTCCCCATAGATGAAGTGCGTCCTCCCGTCATACACTCCCATCATATTTAGTACTTTCCAGACTTGCTCCTCAGTGGCACAATTACCTTTTGTGAAGATCACGCCAAGGATGGTCATCAGTAGGCCAGTCTTAGGCACACCTCTGTTTGCATCATAGCTTAATTCTAGTTTGTTGACGAGGACATAGGTGTTCCTGTTGGGACCCACTTCTTTCATGTCGAGGCCAAAGACCAGCTCCAGGTGCTCAGAAGCTCTTCTCAGGATTTCAGGGAAGTGATTCTTGTACATCTGGACTACATTTCTCAGCATATCTCCCTTTGTAATGGGCTCCTTCACTTGATACTTGTACAGCAGGTAACGCACCAACATAGCAACCCTCTCTTCTAGGGGGTCTTTGTGACAGCATTCAATGGCATCCTTGGCCTGTGAAGCATTTGGCCTTTCCTCGACTTGGTTGTTGGCACCTTCATCATTAGATCTTGTGTATGAAATCAGCTGCAGCAGCAGCGGTGGTAGATGAGGCTGTCGCAGGTTCTTGCTGATTGCTAGGTGTTCCAGCATCAGATGACATCTGCAGAGTATCTTCCAAATGAGGAGATGAGGAAGAGGGAGATTCTTCTTCCTCTGCTACAGTGGCTTGAGCATCCTCTACATCCTTGGGTTCTTCTCTAGCCTGGCGGCGCTTCTCGTGGGCACGGAGCTTACTTTTCTGACCTTGAGGCATGATGACCCTAGATAGAGACAGTAAGCAGGAGTTTGGGATAGAGAGCAGGTGAATCAGTGACCTGGAGGAAAGAAGATAAAATGATACAATCCCCTTCAGCATGAAGAAATCACCTTGGTTTTACTGAAAGCTGCCTCTGCAGGTTTCCTTGAGGGAACTGCTCAAGGAACCCACAGGCTCCTCTTCTCCGATGAGCCTTTCCCCTGCCCTGCAGAAGTAACTAGAGTGTGTCTTTTACTGAAGGCCTCCAGTCTTACCAGCACCTTACTGGGGCTGACACCGTGTCTGGCAGGTCCAGATCCTGTGGAAACTCCTCTGTTCTGAGATAAAGGATATTTCTCTGAACTCGCATTCGGGGCCATCACCTTGACTTCTGGCCAGACCTGTGATCTCTCTGCTTAACTGTTTTGATGCTGATTCCCTAATTCCAAAGCCCTCATGTCCCCTACTCTTTGGACAAGGAATTGAGGGGGAATCTCTGACACATCTGCAGGGGGACACCCTGGAATGGCAGTAATGGCAGAGCTCTGTGAGACCCCCTGTCCTAGCATAATCAGAGTTTTAAGTCTTCATTCAGAGTACTCACCTTTTTGCTTCTTGGAGGGTCTGATTCTACTCCCTTTGCTGACCTGAGACCTATCCCCTCAAAGCAAGGCCTTCACATCCCTGAGACTCCTGATGTGGCTATTAGGGAGGCCTCAGACATATCCTTCCCCAGGAACTCTGGTCAGGAATGACAGCAGGTATAGGGCTCTGTGAAATGTCCTCTGTTCTCAGTACTTAGGTTTCTCATCATGACTCCTCACCTCGAGTGCCTTGTACCTTCCCCTCTGCAGAATTGATGCCTTATACCAATCAGAACAAGGCCCTCATCCACCTGATATTCCAGAGTATGTAGTTGCAGGAGGGTTGTGTGTGCTCAGAATGACAGAACTGCCCACGGCTTCCCAAAGCTGACCACAGAGGCAGTGCTTGCCCCCCTCAGTCCTCATTTTGACTTCCAGACTGGTCACTTCTCTCTTATCACCTGCCACTTCCCTGTCAAACACAAACCCTCATCCCGCTCGGACCACTGAGAATAAAGGGAGGGATACCTTAGCCTGAGAGCCCTGTTGATGGGCTACCAAGGCTCATAGCAATGATGGTGCTTTGTAGGGCTCCGTTTGTCCTGGGGGAGAAAGTCCCCTCAGTCCTAGCTCAGGGAACTAAACTTAACTCCTGGTCACCCTGATGACTCCTCCTTCTGCTGACCTGAATCATCTATTAGATCGAGACTTTTATGCACCCTTCCCACACACACACCAGAAAGTAAAGCAAGCGGACACCTAGGCCTTACAGTCCTGCTGGGGGCTTACCAGGGATGACAGTAAGTAAGGGCAAGATTCTGTAAGGCCTTCCCTATTCTGGGGAGCCAGTTTCCCTCTCAGCTCACACAGGGGTATTTCACAAACTCAAGGCAGTGCCTGGGACTCCTTCCTCTGCTGTCCAATACCCTTACCTCCTTGGAGCCGCTAAAATTCAAAGTCGGGTGTGCCACTGCTGAACCTCCCAGAGCTGACAGCAGGGGTCAGGCTCTGGGGGCACCCCTCTGTTATGGGGGAGAAGTTTCACAGAACTCACGGAGGGCCCCTCATTGGCTCCTAAGACTCTCCCTGCTTCTGCTGGCTTGATGCCAACACCTTAATCCAATGCTGCCATTTCCCTGACTCTCTAAAAGTGAAATTCTTCAGGCAATCCCTGTCACCCGTTGGGGGTCTGGATGTTGGAGAGTAGGGGAGTTCGGGGGCGGGAACGGCGGCCTTCTTTGCCTTATGGCAGAGGTGGGACTGTGCACTTTTAAGTTTTTCTTTTTTGAAGTAGAGGATGCCCTCAAACCTTGCTCACTGTGTTTCCCTTACCTCCTGGCAGGGTCTGGATGCCTTCCCCTACAGATCAGATGTCACCCTTCTCACTACACGGTCTCACCTCCTATAAACTTAAGAGGCGGTAGCCGGTGTGCACACATCCGGTCACCCCTGCTTGGGGGTTCCCAGGGCTGCTAGTAGGGGCAGCACGCTACAGGGTGAGACTCTGTGATGCCCTCTGTGTTATGGAGTGGGTGGTACTGTAAGTCCTTTTTTCAAAGGTGTATCCATATTTTGGCTTCTGGCTCATTGATTAAAGGTTCTTTGAAGAAATAACCACCAAGCAGTAAACTCTGGACAGTTTCTCAACTTCAACCCTTACAGATGATGGGTTTGCAGCCCAGGCTTGACGTGAGATGGAAAGGCTACAAGACAAGGTAGGGGCCTAAGACAGGTTCTGAGCTGTCAAAGAAAGTGCGTAGTGATCATGGGGTCTCTTCACTAGCCAAATTTAGGCTTTGGGGGACTTTCTGTTCTAAAAGATCTACTTTCTACAGAGAAGACACAGATCTGTATAATTTGGTGAGATCCAGCTCTTTTGACCTAATCTAACATTGCGTTGCACTTTGTAGTGGCATTCATTTTAATTTTGATCTCATTTGCAGTAACAAGTGTATTATGTACATGTTCTAATATCACTGCTTTGTGCGGCAAGGCTCTTGATTTTACTATTGTGATCTATACACCATCTTTCAGAAGTCACTTATTTATTTGGATAGCCTGTGGCCTGTTCCTCCGGATTTTCTAAAATGGTGATCATGTTTTCACTAGATAATTTCTATTTCCTGTTTAATATTTCTAATTTTATTTGGTTTTGTATTCTTATTCTCTGGCTGTGTATGTAGCATACTTCTATCTCTTGCTCCTTACATAAATGGGAATGCTCCTAAATTTCCCATTTCACATTTAAGTTTGTTTGCAATACATTTTAGGAAATGAAAATTCCCTTCTAATGTTAGTCTGCTGGAGGGGCGTGGTACTGTAATCCTAGCTCTCTGGGAGGCCAAGGCGGGCAGTTAGTTTAAGCTCAGGAGTTCAAGACCAGCCTGAGCAAGAGCAAGACCCCCGTCTCTACTATAAATAGAAAGAAAATTAACCAAACTACAAATAGAAAAAATTAGCCAGGCACAGTGGCGCGTGCCTGTAGTCCCAGCTACTTGGGAGGCTGAGGCAGGAGGCTCGCTTGAGCCCAGGAGTTTGAGGTTGCTGTGAGCTAGGCTGACGCCACGGTACTCTAGCCCAGGCAACAGAGTGAGACTCCATCTCTAAATAAATAAATAAATAATATTAGTTGGCTAAATGTTATGCATTTGTGTTGAATTTTTTCCCAAAAGTTTTTTTCTGCACTTCAATACATGATCAAAAGCCCTTTAAAAAAATCTAATGTGGTAATATTTTAGGCAGTTTTTTCCTAATGTTATGTTCTTTTGCATTCTTTGGACCTAGACTTTTTTTTCCCCCACATTTAATTCACTTCTGTATTGGACTTGCAGTGTATTTATTCAGGATCTTTGCCTCTGTGTGGATGAACTTGGCTCAAATATATTTTTTTTCTCAGGGTGTCCTCAGCTGGATTTTTATATTATTTTGCTCTGTTGCCCAGGCTAGAGTGCCGTGGCATCAGCCTAGCTTACAGCAACCTCAAACTCCTGGGCTCAAGCAATCCTCCTGCCTCAGCCTCCCGAGTAGCTGGGACTACAGGCATGCGTTACTACACCCAGCTACATTTTCTGTTTTTAGTAGAGACAGGGTCTCGCTGTTGCTCAGGCTGCTCTCGAACTCTTGACCTCAATTGATTCTCCTGCTTCGGCCTCCGAGAGGGCTAGGATTACAGGCGTGAGCCACCATGCTCAGCGTCTCAGTATTATTTTTTTTCTTTTTTTTTTTTTATTTCACCATATTATGGGGGTACAAACATTAAGGTTACGTATATTGCCCATGCCTCCCCTCCCGCCTCGAGTCAGAGCTTCAAGTGTGTCCATCCCCCAGATGGTGCACATCTCACTCATTATGTATGTATATACCCATCCCCTCCTGCCCCCTCCCACCTGCCTGACACCCGATAAATGTTTGTTTTGGTTTTTTTTATCATTTTGGTTACATTTTATATCTTGCCTCTACCTAGCAAGGGTTAGAGGTATGCCCTTCCGCGCTGCAATGCTCGCCACATCCCTCAGATGTGGGTCTAACCCCCCCAACCCCTGAATCCCTGGTAAACACCACCACCCTTTGAGTATCATAGTGTTAATCAGTTAGTACCAAATTGATGGCGAGTACATGTGGAGCCCATTTCCTGATCTTGTGTCACCTCACTTTGGATAATGGGCTTAAGCTCAATCCAGAATAATATAAGTGGTGCTAGCTCACTGTCGTTTCTTAGAATTGAGTAATATTCCATTGTAAACATATACCAAATTTTAATAATCCACTCATGAATTGACGGACACTTGGGTTATTTCCACATCCTTGCAATCAATTGTACTTTTAATGAAAGAGAACTAGCCTGGGAAAATGAGTTGAAAATGTCTTATCTTTCTGTATGCTTTGAATGTGCTTACAGAAGATGGTGGGTTGTCTTTTGCTGATTATTTTGGTAGAACTGGTCCCCAGCTGCCTGGTCATAAGACATTTGAGGGTAGCTAGAGCTTTGACCACAGTTTCACTTTGTATTGGTCAATTACAGTTTTCTATTTTTCTTTGGACCAATGAGTCATTCATATTTTCCTAAATAATGGTCTTTGTTCATTAGGGATTTCAAATTTAATGGCTATATATATTCTATATATTCTTTTCACTATAGAAATTCTTAAAAATATTCAACGGTAGAGAGAATATTCCTGATACTCAGAATCAACATCATCAATACATGGCCAATCTGGTTTCATCTATACTCATACTTAGCACTGTCTCTGCCACTGGAATAATGTGAAACAAATCCTAGACATCATTTCATCTTTAAATATTTCAGTATCTATTTCTAAAAGATAGAAGCATAAACCAAGTACGCTTATCCTACCTGTAAAATTTAACTCCTTAGTATAATTAAACATTCAGTTATTTTTCACATTTACCTGACTGCCATGAATTTTTAATCTT